CTTCCCCCTTTTGCAACCTTTCTTGGTTCACACGCCCCCCCAGCCAGTCTGGGACCTGTGCTGCATGTGGCGGGCATCCTGGAGTGGCTGACATTGGCTGCCACGTTTGGTGCAGTTGGATCAGAGCAGCAGCTACACTTCACATGGTACCCTGGCCAGACTGAACTGCACATGGCACGTGCCCTGGCAGCTCTGGGATTATGCTGCATGCAGCACGGGTCCCATGCTGGCAGAAGCAGCTGCTAGATCAGGTATGTTGGGGGAGGAGAAAGGGAAGGAGAATGGCATCGTACCCTGTGCTTATCTGCTCAGACAGCAGGGTTTCATGGGCTGGATCCAGTCCAGAGACCATATGTTTGACACCCCTGGTTTAGAACCTCTTCTTGAATTGCTATGGCCATTCTGCGCTTTTGAGTTTATGAGGATTCCCATGAAGTCAGTGTCAGCAGATTTAATTGCAGGAGTTCAATGTAAGTGCTTTGGAGTGGTGACCACATCTTTCATTTATATTTTTGGTGCCTAGCACACTTCGGGGTCACAACACCTGTTAAACCCCTACCCAGAACCACTACAATCAGTGAGAGCTTTGTCCCTGGCTTCAGTTGATGCAAGATCAGGTCCTATTTGAATAGGAGTCTTTTCCTTGATTTCATAATGCCCTTAATAGATCAATGGTAATAATTCTTCTTAATCCAAATGGAATTGAAGGCATAAAAACCTTTGAAAAAAGTTATATTTCAATAGTGTAATGTATTGTCTATGGACATCTCATGACATGACAGGCTTAATTTACTTTCATGAATTCTGCAGTACTTGTATATTATGAATATGCAGAGTTTTGAAAGGCGAGAGTAAAATGCAGAATCAGTACTGTCCTCATGAGATCCAGTTGACTCCAAAAAGCTTTCCTTGATGGAGTCCATAACTGTTCCTGTTACAGAAAGTACTAAAACTGTTTTTTTTTTAATTGACAAAAATTCAGAAATTTGAGATTCAAAAATAAATAGGAAAAATAGAGAAAATACTTGTGACATTTCTCCCCCACTGTTTTGGGGCCAACTATGAAACTGGTCAGCACTTCAGTTTTGAAATTAAAAAAATTAGAAAAAAAAAATCTCTCCTCACAATTCCCACACCCAATTTGTTGAACAGCTTCTAAGAAAACGATAGGTATGCCTGCCTGACTATACATTTTCATATATCAAACAGCACAAATCTCCCTTTTCTTCTTCTCTGATATTATGATATATCTCATGGCTTTTAGCTCCTACCTGTCCTTCAAATAGAAAGTTCTTATTTAACATTTTTAACTTGTGAAGGGGATTATTTGAAATTCATTGAAAGACCATCCTTTTCTTCTATATTAGTTTCAATGATTCCTCCTAAAAGAAGTGTGAGGTTAGAAGCAAACCTAAGTAAGGTGTAACAATGCTTTAAAGAGAAGAGAGTGAATATTTATGCTGTCAATTTAAATAATGAAAGCCAGACTCACCTTGCCTGTATTTAGTAGTAGCCATGAACATAACCGGTAAGCCTATGGCAGAAGAAACAATCCAGTTGCACACATTGACAATTTTGGCATTTCTGGGAGTGCGAAAATCAAGAGCCTTGACTGGGTGGCAAACAGCTATGTAGCGATCCACACTCATGGTGCAAAGTGTAAAGATACTTGTGAACATATTGTAGTAGTCTATAGATATAACGATCTTACAAAGAATTGTACCAAAAGGCCATGTTCCCATCAAATAATTCACACTCTGAAATGGCAGAGTGCTTGTTGCTAGGGCATCTGCCAGGGCAAGGTTGAAAATATAGATATTGGTGGCAGTCTTCATTTTGGTGTATCTAGAAAAATCAGCAAAGTGGGTGAGTGACCACAATATTAAATAAAATCACATCAGTAACTTACATATAAGAAGCTTCCATAAAACAACAATCTTAGTATTGGTATCCAGGTTGTATCCATATTAGCCTAGATGCAAAAGGAATCAAAATTCGTGGAAGAGGTAAAGTCTTTTATTAGATCAATAAGATATCTGCAAACAGATTATTTCATTTATTTGCAAGCTTTCAGGCATAAGCTTGCAAATAAATGAAATAATTTTTTCAAGGCACCCCCTTCACCAGGCATAGGAGAGAGCAGAGAGTGTAAAAGTTCTTCTAGGTGGAAATGGAAATTCTCATTTCCACCTAGGAGAACTTTTATAATCTCTGCTCTCTCCTATGCCTGATGAAGGGGGTGCTCGCCTGAAATCTTGCAAATAAATAAAATAATTTGTTTGCAAATATCTTGTTGGTCTAATAAAAGATATCACCTCTTTCATAAGTTTTGTTTCCAATCTTAGTAAGCAGTTTTTATGGTTTCTTCTTGTTTTTAATTTAAAGTCTAACTGCTGACAAATACACAGACTTCTACTGTAATACCTTTTACACAACTCTATGAAACATTAATTAAAGGATCTTAAGATAAAATAAAGCACTGAAATAACTCATGAAAGTTATACACTCTTTGGGTTTAGCATCGAGATCATGGGGGAACTTTTTTGGGTAAATTAATGCAAGTCATGTTCACATGAGAGAAGATATGTATATATATAGGTGTTAGCCATTGTCTTGGTCTCCTTGGGCATGTCTACATGGGATGTTTATTGTGCTGTTTAGCAATTAGCTGCATAGTAAACATCTTGGTGTCTATGTGTGTGCCTCTATTAAGGCTCACAAAACTAATAAACTGTGCAGCAGGGTAGAACTTGTGAAAACAAGTACTACCCTGCTGCAGAGTTTTCTCATGTGTATCAGCACAGGTGTAGATGCTGTCCTGGCTGGCTGGGACACAGGCAGGCAGCTCCCATGCTGAAGCTCCCTTGTGCCTCAGCCAGCCCCTCCACAGCACGTGGAGCCCAACTGCAGTAGTCCTGGGAAGGTTGACCCCCTGGTTCCCCTGCCAGCCATGGCTACTCTGACTGGACTCCACGTGCTACTCATGAATAAACTCTGGAGCAAATTGCTCTAGAGTTTTTTGCTCCTGGGTTCATGTTCAAATGGCACACCTGGGAGCAAAAAACTCTGGCCAGTAAGCTCTGGAATTTATTCCTGCACATTAATTGCATATGTAGACATGCCCATCTAAAGAAAGATATTTCTAAAAAAATAGGAAAAAATGTGCATAAATATTATTATGGTTCGTATAGGACTATTAAAAAAAACGTATTCCGTGAAGCGACCAGTCATATCTAGTTTTGGGGAGACAGGTATGGATTTGTGGTAGATAAAAACAAAAACCTAATTCATGTGTTATAGAGTTGCAACAATGTAGTTTCCTGGGAATAAATGCTTAAAAATATATTATTTATTCTCAATCCAAAATGTTTACAAATCAATATTTGTTTCAAGCATAATAATTGTAGAAAAATTATATTTAAAATATAAGCAATTTATCATTAAATAATAGATGTTATAACTGCAGGAAAATGTATGAAGATCTCATATTCTGAACTGGTATGTTGAATTGGGTGACATGCATCTTGAGCAAATATCCTTTCAATTGACCTAGAAGATAGATAGATGATGTTCATAATATCTGGACTAACTTTTAAAAACGTCAATTTTCTCTCAGTTACAGCTGATCAGGTAGTACTGCTTGTCTCTTAATTCAAGTTATTGCCACTCTGAGTGGTTCGGTGATTTTCCCTTAGTTTCATCAACCTTAGTGAACATCCTTTTTCAGTTTAGTAGTACTGTTGAGATCCATAAGTTTATAGGGGCATTCAGTCTGTTTGTAGGAATAAAATGAATCTTTCAAACAAAGTAATAAGTTTCTCACTTTTCTGTTCTGGGGTCCTGATTCCTACTTAGGTTGCTAGGGACAGGTCTCATCTACCTCTTGGTGGGTCAGATGACTTGCTTTTTTGATTAAATTCCCTTGTGCTTCTGCAAAGTAGTAAAATATCTGACCGAATAACAATGTCCTTAGAAACAAGGACTGCTTTGTAAACTGAGCAATCTATTTTAAAAGTTCTTCTGAAGGACTAAGAAAGAAAGAAAGGGTGTAAAAGAAAATAGCTTCCTAGGTTGAAATATTGGCGATCTCTGGCCTTGATCTCTTCACCACAGCATCTGGGTTGTAAAGAATAGATAGCAGAATTATTTAGTGAAAGCATATTTTAGGAATATAAATATAGTCTGAAGAAATTTAGCTTCCTTACTGAGACTATGTAAATAGATTTGCGATAGATATCTGAAGCAGTTGAAAGTTCTTCATTTTATAACACTATAGATGTAGCTCTAATCAGCTTTAACTTTAATTTAATATTTTAAAATAGTTTTCTGATAGATCTAAGCTATTTCTCTTTTGGGAAATTATAGTTCAGAATTGTGGCACTAAATTGTAAATCTAAGCAAGAATACATTCTGAGACAAAAAGTACTCAGGATCCTTCTTTTAGTGGCAGCTTCTATTCCAGCTTCCATAGGGAGGTGAACACTTCTTTTACTCAGCAAATATAAATGCTTTCAGAAACAGATGTAGACTCCACAAGGACACAGAGTTCTTCCCAATGAAAATTATTGAGAAGAGGGCTATTGCAGTTGTTGGGAACTTTATACAGTGTGAGAGATTCATAAGAAGATGCAGTTGTCCAAACAATGGATTATGGGGAAGAGAAACTTTTGGGAAGTTTGTTAGAGAAATTTGCTGATAAATAAAATAAAAGAGGAAATACACTTTTAATAGGACTTTAGGAATATCCACAATGAAATTCTTGAATCCTGAATAAAACAACAAAAATATAGGAGAAATAAACTGATTCTCCATAGATGTGGAGTCCAGTCCTGGATTTCCTCTAAGGATATGTCTGCACTGCAGCTAGAAGTGTGACTGAGCACAGATAGGTCCAGAAACGCTTACTTTTATCTAACTAGTTTGGGTTACAATAGCAGTGACAAAGTAGTAGGACTGTTCAATCCCAACAGACACTAGCACGTTTACACAAGATGTTTACTGCAGAATAGACTAATTAGCTCCACAGTAATCTCACGTCTACATGTGCGGCCCTGTTAGGCCATAGGAAATTAATTAACTCTGCAGCAGGGTAATACTTGTTATATCCTGCTGTGGAGTTTTTTACTCTACATCACTGCACATATAGATGCTGATGTGGCTCACTGGGGCATGAGGGTACTTTGGTGCAGGGGCTGCTTGTTAGCTAGCCTCATACTGGAGTACCCTCGTGCCCCAGGCAGACTCTCCACAGCACATTGATGTGTGTTGGAGCAGCCCTGGGCTGGCAAGCTGGACTTTGGAGGACCCTGCCAGCCAGAGCTGCTCTAAACCAGCTCAGTATGCTGCGGTTCTGGGTGCATGTGTAAATGTGGAGCCTGGGTGCAATAAACTTTGTTGTGATATTGCCTCAGAGTTTATTGCTGTGTGCTAGCACATGTAGACATTTCCACTGGGTACTTATTTGGGTGGCTAACTTGTGCTGGCCTCCACGCTACTATATTTCAACTGCTATTATTATACAAGCTAGCTTCTTGCATACCTTTATACTGCAAAGCAAGATGCTTCAACAGTGTCTTAAAAAAAACCCTATATAAATTACAATGATTTTTTTTCAAAGCTACAAATACATGGTAAGGCAGAGGAGAGAATGCATATCATATTCTAAAAAAATATTATCCAGAAGTTTTCATTCACTATATTAGTAGAGAATGGGAAGGCTGAAACTCTAAAAAGCAAAATAAAAAACCAAAAACAAATACAAATACATACTATACAGTGAGACTGCCATAAACCTGAGCCCACGTAAGTGTCAGGCAGTTTCATTTTTGCTGCCGCTACTTTGTTCATTGCCAACCCTAAAATTTTTTGGGCTGTGAATTATTTCATTTCATGGACAATTTAAACTAGTAATTGAGTATTTTGCTTGATGAGCTATATAACCTTCAGATTTCTAATTTATCTGTCTAAAATATAAAGGAACCTGTGCCTTCACACTTATGCACAATATTTGACTCATAACAATGGCTTGATCCAAAGTTGATTGAAATTAATTTGATGAGTTTAATTTTTCCAGGGGTTTTGGATGAAGTGCTAAAAGTGCAATTTTTGCATTTTTAAAGATGATATACATGGTTTATTTCTAAAAGATAAATATTACTGAACACAAGCATTTGCTTAAGCAAGTAGATTATCAGTGTATCCAGGATTCATATATTTGTACAAATAAATAGGTTAGTTAAATAATTTGTTTAAAAGACTTTTGCTTTGGCTAATAATTACATACAGACTTTTCTATTACCTGAATGGTTATTATTTTAGCTGGCATTATTTTATTATATTTAGTTTGAGCCCTTAACTCTATGTAAGTGGTCATTGTTTTAACTGACTATCTTTCTCCTGCATAGAACTATTTTTACTGCTGATATATATAATCAGTATTATAATTTTTAATGAAAAATGGAGAAAAATGCCATCCTTCCTGGTGTCCATTGCAAATGCATTTAAATGTCTGCAGGTGAAATGCATTCTAGTTCAGCTGAAAAAGACTGGCTGTAGGTGTTATGGTTTTCTATATGCAATTTTGCCTTCCCTTGTAGTAGGGGGCATTGCCCTGTTCCTTGGATCTCTCAAATATGTTTTAACAACCTTGCAGCAGCGGATGCTGACAGCTCTCATTTGCCTTCTTTATCTGTCAGGTTAGGCTACTTTCAGTGTCTTTGGCAATATATCTTCCAGTTCTGCAACAGGATTGATTGTCATTTTATGAATAGGTTAGAGTAGGGGAAGGCAACCCCTGGTATGCATGCCAGAGCGTGACACGCAAAGGCATTTTGTCTGGAAC